GAAGATCCTGCTCTACCAAAAAGTACCACTGTATTTGCGTTTCAAGTTCACCACTAGGAGTGCCACGCTTTTTAATGCTGTTGCAATTAGATACTAGATTTTTCACAAGGAGGTAGGATACTCGGTACAATAAGACTGTATCGAATAATGAAAACGTAAATAAAAGGGATTTAAGGTCATCGGTTTAAAGTCTGTCAGTGAGTATACAGAGAAATTCTTAATTCACTGTCGAAACATTGCTTTGGTTTTGCTTTACTAAGTTTGTGAGATGTAATTGGCTCTTTGAGGTGTTTTCCTTTCTTTCTGATAGGACGTACTTTGGTTTAGGATAATCGATCGAAAAGCGCTTAAGATCAAGCATGAACTGTCATTCTTGTTTTTCTCGCCGTTAGATCGTATTTAAAACTCATAGATGCACTGTAATAAATCGATCCTTGCTATTTATTTCATTAATTTATTTCATCATAGAAAGTAGAAGCTGAGACAAAATAAAGCATGCTTGCTTCAGAGTTGTAGTAGATCTGTCCTGGTTCGATTGTGCTTCAAAATCTAATTCGGTTTCCAGAAATCAGTTTGCGTTTATGAGAGCATTCATTCGGTAAAGCTATTGCCTTCGACAAGACTTCAGCAACCGGTCGCTATGACGACACGATATAAATATAGTGACATGCCACCATCTCATTGGACAAGAAGGATCGCCAAGTGTTTGGTGATTCAACGATTCAAGACTGTATCCCAAGATTAGCATCAGTTTTCATTTACATGTTGATCCACTGGTGACAAGAGATCGCAAAAAGAATCCTTTAATTTTCCCCACGTAAATCGTTCACAATCAACCTGCAACATAAATTCCGTGTTAGATATTTCGTTTTTTTACTCCTCTATCACTGTAGGAACACTCGACAATTTTAAACAAAGTATGATCCGGATAATTCACAGGAAGCAGATAAATCGTGTTTGACAGCATCTCCTACGACAATCCCCAAACAATTGCATTCGCTTCTGTTGAAATCCAATGCGATACCACCACAGTGGTCGATAGGCGAACTTTTCCACCTGCTGAGGCGCGGTGGAAAGTAAAGCTCCACCAACGTTAAGCCCACAATAACTACTCAATGCGGTTTCGTCTTGCGGAAAGGATCCTAACTAGCTTGCGAACTGGCCCTTATTAATGGCGCTGTAGGACGCGCGTATCTCGGTCCGCGTGAAGACTTAAGACGAGTCACCGAGAGGTTTTTCCGGGATCTGGTACTCATTACCAGTGCAGTACCCCTTACAGACCTTCCGCTGGCTAACGTTGCTCAAAGGCTTATAATTTACCGCGGGCGCAGAGTCGCTCGTGCCGAAGCACCAAATAAGGGCCTACTCCCTGTCTAGGTTTCAACCAAAGCATGAGGTGATCGTTTGCATAAACGGTCAGTCTTCAAGATCAAGTTGCGCAATAGTATGCCAGGGTAATTTACTGTTATAAGTTGATAACGTAAATTGGCCACCGTAAAGAGTTAAAAACTGACGTTTCGAGCGTTAGCCCTTCGTCAGATTCCTCTCAACACTTAAACTTCTTACGGTGGCCAATTTACATCATCAGCTCAGTTGCTAATACAAAATTACCCTATTATACTCTCCCACCGAGGCAGCACCACAGTTTACTTGGCAACCTAGCCTCTATTTTGCGCAGTAGTAGCCGACTTTCGTATTCTCGGAAATTCTGGGCGAATTCTAGTGGAATTACAGTGGTGGCTCATAGTCAATGGAGACGAGCGAAAACGTGGGCGCGTGAGAAATAGCAGGATTGGGATTACAAATTCAAAACAACACGTTTTCCTGAAAACCAAAACCACCGCGTCCACTTGACTTGCCAGTTTCCTTGCATTTAACTTCGTCTACACTTACAGCTCGGCATAGGCTGAGATGCCATGTCTTAATGACTTACTGCGACTTTGTGAGATCTCACGTGTCTTGGATTTCTAC